CGGAACGCGATAACATAGCTCAATTCATTTCGCGCGAACATTTTATTCATGAGATTCAAATGGAAGAAAGATTGAATGCTTCTCTGTAATGATCCACGTAGTTCAAAACAAAATGACACAAAATCAGCTTTACAAAGAAACATGCTCTTATCAATTTTCCAATCCACAATCAGGGACGAATACAATATTCATACAATATTCGGGTTATTGTGACAAGTTGTTCCTTTATGCTTCGCTGCGAAAGTATAAAACTTTTGCATAGTAATCAGTTTGCAAACGACGACGGCAAACAGGACGTGGTAAAACAAAAGACTTAAGAGGCAAAACGATAGTTCAGCTGGAGGAATTTAAAACTTTGTACATTTCTTAGCCGCCCTCGGCAAAACAACAACTTAAAATCGCTATTTCGATGTGCTGAGTTGTAGCGCTAGTAGAGACGATACGCATATCTAGCCATTCGCGAAAATTCTTGCTAAAGATATCAATTCGTTGAGGTCTTGATCACTTAAGGTGCCTTTTAATATGACAACGATACAAAACGAAATTACCAGGACTTCTTACAAATACGTTCAACGACTTGTGATATGCCTTAAGCTATTTTTTATTAGCAAGTTGGCCCAAATTGTATTCCGCTCTAATCATTTCGAAAACAAAAAAATTTCTTCTAGAAATTTAGCTTCCTGTTGCCAAATGGCCCACTTGTCGTGATGGAAAATGCTTTCTTAAGACTGATCACATAAATATGAAATAAAACCTATTAAAGGTCAAAGGTATAAGAACTTGCTGTAAAGCTCAATTCCTTAGTTACTGTTTTAGGAAGAAGTTATATAGGATAACATTGTTTCCTTCTGTTGTACGAATGTGTTTCTTTCACAGATAAACTATTTCCATTTACATTACAGAGACAAATTTCGCATTCAATTCATCAGTGGCACATTCGTATGTAGCACAAGTCTCATTTTAAGGAATCTTGCAAAACTTTCAAGTCCAAGAAATCTACTCGGTTAGACTGCCTTCAAAGCAAAGAAACGCTGCAAATTACCCTTCCCGGAAGCGTCCAAAAAAGAAAAAGGAAAATTTGGTCAACACTCGAACGATGAAATGAAGTCACATTTGTGAATGTTCGTTGCTGCATTGCAGATGCCACTCTAACGGGAACGACTTCCCTTCAAGAAAAAGAATAACGACAGTGAGAATCATAGTTTTGAACTTTTTTTCGTTTTATTGCTCCTCCTTCCACTAAAGATCAAGCCATGATTACATTCCGTGTCCATGAAAGCTCGCTCTTTTCGCTTTGCTTTGCTTTTTTTGCAGATGCTCAAGAAGAAAGAGTATCCGTTCAGCTGCAAACACTGAGTGAAAGGTATGTCGGCCGCTTCAGATTATCGGGAGATCGTGCCGAAGAATGCACTTGTGGCTATAGAGGAATAGACTTTTGTGGTGCTACATACAGCGTCTACATTAGCGGTTCTGATGTGCGTGTCTATTTAAAGTGCGAAAATATCCACGTGTGTTGATTAGGACCGTTTAATTGCTAAAACAACGTCTGTGAACACCTAATCTCGTTCTTAAAATGTGAATTAGCAATACTTTTAGAAATTTCAATGAAAGATTTTGAAACATAACAGTCACATATATTAGTGGTTAAACTCCA